GAATGATTTTCAAATCCTAGTGGCTTTCACCTAGTAGGTCCTAGATCTTGGCTTCTCACGGCATTCTCCCATAAAAGGAACCAGGACTCCTGATAAAAGTGGCTGAATTTGGGGCTGGAGCAAGGAATATACAGGAGAAATTTGGAGTATCTTTTAATTTGAGAAAGACAAGGTGTTCTCAGGAGGGAAAAAAGTAAAAATTACAACGGTAGAAGGGGGCATCCATTAAAGGGACACAGGAGTCAACTCCAGTGGCCAAAGCTGAAACAATTTGAGCAATAAAACAGTATTGGATTATAACTCAAAGTATAAAAAATAACCTATGCATTCACTTTGATATAAGTAAATTATTGAATAAACAGGGCAATTTTCCTGTACAGAAATTCTAATAATTTATGTAGATATTTCACCCTCAAGGAGATGGAAGTCACCTCCCTGCTTCTTAAGTATGACTTGTGCAAAATGACTTCCTTCCAAAAAGTATAGTATGGAATAGGAGAAAAAGAAAGTAAAAGAAAAAGGAATTGAAGAAACCTGACAAACTCTACTAGGTTTGGTAATTAAAGTCAGGATCAATAGTGATAAGTCATAATGCTAGTATGTATTCTTGTTATGATATGAGAATGGCACATTGCCTCTCTGATCTTCCTCCTCCAAACATCTGTCTAATCGTGAGAAAATCATCAGACAAGTAAGATTTAAGGGACATTTTATAAAATACCATACCAATATTTATTAAGTCATAAAAGCAAGGAAAGTCTGAAAACTGCCACAGCTAAGAAGAGCCCCAGCAAATATGACAAGTAACTATAATGTGTAGTATCCTAGATGGGATCTTGGAACAGAAATGGGCATTAGGTAAAACTTAACAAAATCTAAAAAGGGTATTATTGAAATAATATGTTTCAGTATTGATTCATTATTTGTGAGTAATGTACCCTACCAATATTGAATGTCATCAATAGGAGAAACTGTGTATGGTATATATGAAATTCTCTGTGTGATCTTTAGAATGTTTTTTTGTTTTGTTTTGTTTTTTAACTCTAGAACTATACTCAAAAGCTTATGAAAACTGAGAAACCCTTCCTTACTATTTCTAGGGAATGACTCCATTTGTAAAAATAATAGTAAATTTAATATCCTAATGTCTCTATACTTACCGTGTTAGGAACACATATAAAGGAGTAAAAGTAAAGATTTGGATTAGGCCAGTATGGTGGTTAAAGCAGTTAATAGATCCTAACACAGCTATGTGATTTGAGTCTGGACCTGGTGGCTTGATAAACATGCTGAGTGTATGTACATGTGTTCCCAAAATCCCAAAAGGAGGGTAAAATGGTGGAGAGGGATTGTAGTGTGGCCATTCCCCAAGGAGGAGTGCTTTCTTACATTCATTCTCTTTCTCTGGCAAGTGCATGTGTCCTCCAGCAAAATTTTAAAAAATAAATAAATAACAATCTGGTTTACACTAAAGCTTTATTGACAAGTTTTAGGACAAAGAAAGGGAGTTGAAGAGAGCTATTCATAAACACAAGGACTGAAATGAGTAAGCAGCTAAATTTTCATAGCCCAAATATGCAATAAAACTTGAGAAGTGTACACATTCTTTGCAAGGGAACAAATAATATATTTTTTAGAAAGAATTATTTATTTTACTATTGTTATTTAAAATTTGCTATAGGGCATGTGCACTCACCAAAGAGAGTTAGTGAGAGAGAGAGAGAGAGAGAGAGAGAGAGAGAAAGTAAACTGCTAGGTCTGGGACTTCAACCACAGCTGGCCATGTGAGAGTCCAGCACCTGAACCACCATGCCACCTGCTGGCCCCAATAATATAACTTTTTACATACTAAGGGAGTCTAACATTTAGTGGAATGTTAGAGTGAATTATTATTTAATGTAAATAACCACTTATATAATTTATCAGCTTACCTAAGTATACTTTTTAGCATATTGCATTTGCTTCAAGTGGAGGGGCACCTGTACTTAAACTTATTTTTCTTAATACAGTCACTGGAATTTGAAACAGCTAAAAATTCAGTTGTAAAAAGTAGATATTATTAGTGATTTTTAGAAGTAATAATGTCAAATCAGCAGTTTATAAAGTTAATACAAAGCCCATACTTTCTTACTTAGGGACACATAGCACCCCGAACTCCAGGAATTTATGAGTAGGGCACAAAGTTATTTCTAACATCAATAATGGAAAATTCCCTTCAGGATCCCCTTCAGAAACTGTTGATTTTCCAGCACAGTGTGTACTTATCAGTAATGCCAAGATTTTGTGGCATCATCTGTCCATGTCATTAGAGAAGGGCTGAAATCCTATTCTTTTCCTTTATTTTTTTTTCTTTGAGCAAAACTCAACATACCAGGCTTCACTGGGCACTGCAGATAAAGCCTTCTATGCATTAATACGGAATTACATATGCACTAAAATTTCTTCCTCTATATCTCTTCAAAGAAGTTCAAGAAGATCATGGTTTATATGTTCTTCATCGAAAAAATAGTAGCTAAAAACTATTTAAATAGTTTAATAGCTTTAGAGAGTCTAATCAAAGAGAGAAAAGAAAAATTATTCAGGTTCAATCTAAGAGCTAAATTAGGGTTACCAAATTGAGTAAAAATATAAGATGCTCTGTATTTTATCTAAATTTTATTTCAGATAGTGATTTTTTAAAAAAATATAAGTATGTCTCATGTACTGGTTAGGATATACTTATGCCAAAAACTTGTATGTGTTTACCTGACAGTCAAAGTTAACTAAGAGTCCATGGGAACCAACAGTTAGCATAATGGCTATGTCGCTGGACTCCCACATAGTCGACCACTGTTCACGTCCCGGACCCGGTGGCTTAAAACTCATGCCGGGCACGTGTGCATGTGTGCCCAAGACCCCGAGAGGAGACTCAAGGAGAAGGGATTGCGGCGTGACCATCCCCCATGGGGGGTGATTTCTCATTTTCTGTCTCTCTGTCTCTCTCTGTCTGGCGAGCGCACGTGCCCTATAGCAAAAACCTCTCCAAAAATAAATAAATAAATAAAATAAAGTTAACTGAGAGTCCATTATATTCTTGGCTAATTATAAAATCTATGCTCACAACCTAGGTTCAAAAAGTAAAGTTTCAAAATTTTTCTATAGTTTGAGTAAAGCACACTTTAAAATTTATTAATACCTAACTTTTAGATATTATTGAACTAAACATTGAGATACAGTACCCATAGCACTAAGCCTTTTGAAATATACCTCATTCATTAAAGGTTTGCTGAATGCTTTTTGTGTTCAGTCTTACACTGGGTTCTAAGATAGACCCATAAGAAAGCAAACGGTGAATTTGTATCCTCTGACCAGTTTACCTTTTGCATAAAATGAGTAAATTCTGGAGACCTAAATTACAGCATGGTGACTAGAGTTAATGCGTTGAATACTTGACATTTTCTTTTAGAGAGAGTTTTGCTTTAGGGCACCTGAGCTCACCAGAGAGACAGAGAGACAAAAAGCTAGAAATCACTCCCACCGCCTGGGGTGGGGGAAGG